TTTGGAATTGGAGAAATACTGATTTCATAGAAAAAATTTGGGAGTGTCTCTTCCTTTTCTATTTTATGGAATAATTTGAAGAGTATTGGTATTAACTCTTCTTTGAAGGTTTGATAGGATTCAGCACTGAATCCATCTGGTCCTGGGTTGTTTTTAGTTGGGAGATTTTAAATTATGTATCTATCACATTGGTTGTTATGAATCTGTTTAAATCATATCTGTCGTTTTGATTCAATTTTGGTAAGGCATACATATGTGGAAATTTATCCATTTCTTTTAGATTTTCTAGTTTAGAGGATTATAGAGTGGGTTATTAAAGTATGTCCTTACAGTTTTCTGAATTTCCTCTGTGTTTCTTGTAATGTTACTCTTTCCATCTCTGAGCTTGTTATTTTGGGTTCTATATCTTTTTTGGTTAATTTGGCTAAAGACATCAATTTGGTTGATCTCTTCAAAGAATCAACTCTTCATTTCATTAATTCTTTGTATTGTTTTCTTTGTTTCTATTCCATTAATTTCAGCCTTGATTTTATTTTATGTGTTGTTTATTCTTATTTTTCCAAGGCTTGCAGGTGAGTCAATTTATTTATGCCAGATGTTTCTAATTTTCTGATGTATGTATCTAATGCTATAAGTTTTCCTCTGAAAATTTTGTCCTAAAGGTTTCAGTATGTTGTGTTTTCATTTTCACTAAATTCTAAGAAATTCTTAATTCCCTTCTTGATGTGTCCAGTGATCCAGTTTTCATTCAGCAGTGTTTAGCTTCTATGAATTTATGCAGTCTTCCCCATTTTATTGTTGTTGATATCTGGTGTTATTTCTCTGTTCTTGGAGAGAACACAGGCTATTTCAATTTTTGTAAATTTGCAGAGACTTGATTTGTGTCCTAATATGTTGTTAATTTGATGACAAGTTCCATGGGCTGCTGAGAAGAAAGTGTATTATTTGATGTTTGGATAGAATGTTCTGTAGATGTCTGTAGGATCCATTTGATGGATGGTGTCATTTAACTCCAGGTTTTCTCTATTTAGTTTTTGTCAGGTTGACATGTCTATTGGTGACAGTAGGGTTTTGAAGTTACTCACTGTTACTCTGTTGGAGTCAATGTGAAATTTTTAGAACTAATAAAGTTTCTTTAGGAAATTGGATGCTCCTGTTTTAGGTGCATATATATTTAGGATTACAATATCTTCTTGGTCTATTTTTCCTTTAATGTGCATGAAGTGACCTTCCCTGTCTCTTCTGACTATTTTCAGTTTGAGGTCTATTTTGGTAGATATTTGAATAGTGATGCCTGCTTGTTTCTTAGTTCCATTTGCTTGCAATACCATTTTCTATCCTTTTACCCTATGGTGATGACAATCATTGTTGGTGAGGTGCATTTCTTGAAGGCAACAAATAGATGGGTCTTGTTTTCTAATCCAATTGGTTAGTCTGTGTTATTTTACTGGGGAGTTGCAACCATTAATATTGATACTGCCACTTTCCCACTTGCTTGGGGTTGAAGGTGCATTGCATTCCAATGGTTCCTTGAATTCATCATCATGGTCTCTCTCCCTGGCCCATCTTAGTCTCTTTCCCTTTTCAAGAACTAGCTTCTAAACATCTTCCAGCTCACTGCTTGTCCTGCTTCTTCTGAGAAGGCTTTACAGATAATCCCTTCTCTTCCTCGTCCTCAAGTCTAGGTGGTACCATGTCATCGAACTGCCCTCTCTCTTTGCTTTAAGGCATTTAGTCTGTACCCAGAGTGATATTTAACTAACTTTTATTTCCCAAGTTAGACCAAAAGCTGCTTTGCAGCAAGGGACTTGTCTTTGATTATTCACTTCACACATGTGCCCTCAATTTCTATCCAATACCTGACATCAGAGCAGGAATTCATGAGACACATGAACAGCTTCAGTATGAAAGAGGCATTACACAGAAACTGTGCAAATGGAGGCTTTTGAAGTTTACTTTTTATTGTGCTTAGTTCTGTGTGTGTGTGTGTGTGTGTGTGTGTGTGTGTGTGTGTGTGCGCATGTGAGTGAAGGTGCCCTTGGAGGCCAGAGGCTTTAGGTCTCCTGGAGCCGGAGTAACAAGTGGTTGTGAGCCACCCGATGAAGATGCTAGAAGCTGAACTCAGGTTCTCTTTAAGAGACAGTATGCATTCTTATTTGATCAGCTGTGTCTCCAGCTGCAGGTTTAATTTGTGTTAGTGAACATTTTCTAAATGGATTTGCACCTTGGGTAGATGTTAGAGTAGATGGCCTGGAAGACTTGGCTGGGAGCATTTGCTATGAACACTCTATGTGTTCCCCTTAACCAGGCCTGTGATGCTTTGCAGAACTCTGAATCCTAGTCACTGGCACCATCCCTTTCCTTGTTGACTTTCCAAACCATGAAACATTTTCAAAGTTTTTGATGTCTCTTAAAAAAGAGTCAGGTCCACTCATTGGTCTTTCTTATCGGTCTCTTGTTTCTGGTGGTTTGAATTTGTGATCCAAAGACTGAGGCTAAATTTTTAATCAGTTTTGTTTATTCTACCCATTCCAACGCTGATATTCAAGGAGTGTGGGTGGGAAGCTCACAGAATATCGGGTTCAGTCGGAGAAGGATGGTGAGTGGAGACAGGGAGGAGGAATCTGAAGGCAAAGGAACTGAACCAGCAACACATCTTTAGCAAACTAAATCTGAGAGGCATCTGCAACTTCTCAGTGGCTGGGGCTCAGGTATCCCTGGATGAACACATACCGTGTTGCATAGCACACTTCTGCTTTCCTGTGCTGGCCCCAGCCAGCTCAGCATGTGTGGAGAGCTGAGATTCCCAGGCCTGGCCTGTGGAGCTGTGTGTCTCTTTAAGAGGTTATTATTTTTGCAAAGCTCTAATGTTCATTGCCTATGGTTTGCCCGGGTGACTGCTTGTTAATGCAGTTTCATTGTTGCCTAGGGAAAAAGAACCCCAGCGACCCACTCTAATAACTGCTTTCATGTGGGGCCTCAGCCTCTGGGTCTGTGTAGTATCCTTTACAAATGAGCAAAAGTGGCCACAGTTATATTAGGCAACATTGCCAGAGGTCTATGATAAAATCTGCAGTCACTGCCAGGGACAGTGTGAACCCTGTCAGTCCGAGGATTAACTTTTCTGTAGCAACAGCTAAGGCTTTTTTTTTTAATGTCTCACAGCGTGCCAGGCAACATGTGCTGGTGGTGGGAGCGTGGAGTGGGGGAAATGCTTTACTGTACGTAATTTCCATTAGTTTCATAATAAATCCCCAACATGGATATTTTACTCCTACTTTAACAAAGAGGAAGTTTTAGATGGCATAGCTAAGGTTGCACAGGTGACAGATATTAACCTCCAAGGTTACCTGCTCAGTACTAGGCTACCTTTAAGATAACATGGAAATGTAAAGCCAATTGTCTTAAGGGTAGTGACCTATTGTTTCACAGGAACTAAGCCTGTTTTTCCTCTTACCTGAGATATTGCAAAGGGAGTGAACCAGAGAAGGACCCTGGGAAACTTTCATCTAGATTTTCTTTATCTTTCCTATGTAGCATATAGGTGTTGGCAAATGTTGGAATAAATTAGGAAATTTTGAACTTATCATTGCTATGTTTGTTTAGCTACCCCTGTCTCAAATTCTTTTACTGGAGACGAACAAGGAAATTTCCCTTTTTTGACAGAGTTCAACATATACTGTAAATCCTTTAAGCAAAAGCCACTCCAGTGGTTTGTTGAAAGAGAGACTGAAATTTATAATGAAACAGGTAAATGATCATACTTCATTTATCAGTTCATTATATCTCATAAAATTATGATTTGGTAAACACAGGAGTTGAAATATTCATATAAAGACAAAAACTCCTACATAATTATTAATATTAAGCACACAACAAACTTGCAAACTTGGCACCGAGTTTCCTATTGGTCAAAGTAAAAACAGAAACATCAGGTATATGATGCCAACTTTCATAAAGGAAAATACTATAGAAAAATACAGTCTTTTAAAAAAGATTTATTTATTTTTTATTTTGTGAGTATGAGTGTTTTGCCTACAGGTATATATGTGCGCCATGTGCATTCTTGATGTCCTTGGAGGCCAGAAGAGGGCATCAGATTTCCTGCAACTAGAGTTATAGACAGTTGTGAGCTGCCATGTGGGTGCTGGGAACCAAACCCTGGTTGCAAGAGCAATTACTGCCCTTAACCACTGAACCATCCCCAAGGCTGTTTTGTTGTTTTGCTTGTTTTGGGATTTTTAATTTTTTTTTTTGTTTAGTTTAGTTTTGTTTTGTTTCGAGATAAAGTCTCCTGAAGCTCAGGCTGGCCTTCAGTTTGCTAGATAGTAGCCAAGGATGAACTTGAATAATGATCTTCCTGCCTACAATTTCTCTGGTCCTGTGATTGCAGGCATGTGCCACCACACCCACTTTATGTGGTGCTGAGGATGGACATCAGAGTTGCATGCAAGTGAGGTCAGTGTTCTACCCACAGAGCTACATCACCAGCCTAGAAATACAGTTTCTTAAGGGAGATAGAGTTCTTTGGTTCTTAGATCTGAAAATGATTTCTCTGGAGGATTAAGGACAGTAGGGGCATGTGGAGGCTGCTATCTTCATCACTTCCCTGCCCACTAAATGCAGTAATATTTCAATGGAGGCTTCCATATTGTGTACAAAAAAACATACCAATGCTCAGTGAGCTAAAAGGAACTGGGCAGAAGGGGCAACAGGTTGTGAACCTTTGGTACATATTTCTGGAGCTCTGGTGAATCCAGAATTAAAATTAAACAACAAACATGGCTGAGGGGCAGTAAGATGATTCATTGTGTAAAGGTTCTTTCTGCCAGGCCTGATAACTTGAGTTTGATCCCCTGTCTCACTAGTGGAAGGAGAGAACTGACTCCTGCATGTGCTTCCCACAATAAATAAATAAGTGTAATAAAATCTTAGTACAAGGATGAAAAATATGCCTTTACATTGATCTTCTGAAGATGACGTTTTTATCAGAGACTTACCATGGTTTAGATACGATTTGCTTCCCCAAATTTCCCATGTTGGATGCTTAGTCTTCAGTATAGTGATGCTGGGGAGTACTGGGACCTAGTGCAAGTAGTCCTGGACAAAGAGATGGCTGTTAAGAGACAACAAGGCTGGCACCTCCTTGTCCTGGGATTCTGTCTTGCCATGTGTTCCCCGCCCCATTGACTCCTACAGTATGATGACACCCACCATGAGGACCTCACCCAAGTCCAAGGACATGTACTACTCAATCTTGACTTTTAACCCCTAAACTATAAGGTAATAGCTCTCTCTCTCTCTCTCTCTCCTCTCTCTCTCATCTATCTATCTATCTATCTAGCTAGCTAGCTAGCTAGCTAGCTAGCTAGCTAGCTAGCTAGCTAGCTAGCTAGCTAGCTAGCTAGCTAGCTAGCTAGCTAGCTAGCTAGCTATCTATCTAGCTATCATCTATCTATCTATCTCTCTATCTATCTATCTATCTAGCTAGCTAGCTAGCTACTTTCTATCTAACTATCTATCCATCCATTAATCCATCCATCCATCATCCATCCATCATCTATCTATCTATCTATCTATCTATCAATCATCTATTGATAGATAGATAATACCTATCCTTAAATATTTTGATACAGTCATGAAAAATGGGCTATGATCAAGCTTAAATGAAAAGTTGGACAATGGGGCTGGAGAGATGGCTCAGTGGTTAAAAGCACTTACTGCTCTTGTAGAGGACCTGAGTTCATTTCCCAGCTTCTACATGGTGGCTCATATCTGCCTGTAACTCCAGTTCCAGGGGATCTGAAACTCTCTTCTGGTCTCCACAGGTTCCTACATGCATGTGGTGCACATAAATTCATACAAACGTGCAAACACATGAAGAAAATAAAATAATTTCCAAAAGTTGGACAAAAGACAACTTGAAGGTATTTAAGGACAAATGTAGCCTCAGATAATTTCCCTAGGGGTGTTTAAGAGAGGCAAACCATTTGAAAATGGAGGTACTGGGTATATGATTGACTTTATCCAATTGTTGCCAAACTTTCCTGGTTCAGGACTTAAATTCCCGCATCTTTATTAGGGAAGGAGATGCAAAGCTCCATCTGCAGGGCAAGTACACTGTAGTTGCTATGCACTGCGTTTATTCAGGGGTAGCTTTGGACAAACAGATGCACTTTCCCCCCCGAGCCAGGGAAGGTGCTTGTGTTGACAGGGCTGTGCTTAATCAGTCCAGTGAATACAGAGCTGTTACTTACACAGGACACTCAAATGGTCAAGCATCCATCAGGCTCAGTCCCAGAAAGGGATTATGGACTATGGGAATCACAGGGCACAAAAAGCACACAGTATTTTCTTCCCTGAAGGTCTTTTAAAATTAAGATCACAGCCGAATTTGAGAACAGCTTATAAGCTGTGAAGCCAGCCGACCTGAATCCTGACTTTGCTGCTGATTAGCTATGGGATTGTGGGATTTTAAGATGTTCACTTAACTCCTCAGAGACTTAGTTTTCTCATCTGTAAAATGGCCACAGGGATATTCTGAAAATTAACTGAGATATTTACAGGTTCCTGGCACAGTGCCTAGCTCAGTAACTGTTGGTTTCCTGCCCTCTTTCCCCTTCTCAATCTAGGATGAGTGGAGCTCTGCCTGCAGGTGAAGAGCTGAACCAAAACAGAATTGTTCCTTAGTTAAAGCTCAGCAGTTGTGATAGTCCCATTGCACCAAATGATGAATAGAGAACTGTGTCTCTCAGGGCCCATTTTGTTTGTCTGTTTGCAAAAGACAAGATTTTACAAAGTGTTTAGAGACGCTAAGTGTTAGTTCAGCCATATCTAAAGCTTGGACTCCAGAATTTCTTCTTCAGCCAATAAAATGATGCTTCTCTTTCTCTCTCCTCCCCGATCCTCCTTTCCCCTTTCTTCCCCTCCCATCTCCTCCCCTCTTCCCTTCCTCTTTCCTCTTCTTTTGTCTTCTCATCTCATCTCCTCTCCTCCATTTCCTACCTGCCCCCAATTCCCTGAACCACCTTCCCCTCCGTTCTTGCCTCTTATAGTGCTAGATTTACTAGCTGCAAGCTCTTGGATATAAGTTATTTCCTGTGAGCTGACACCCATCTCCTTATCTATAAAACCAAAAGCCTACACCATCTGTTAATGGAGCTCCTGACAGCTTCAGTGTTCTGAGATAGTAAGAATCATTCTTTTATTCATTTTGTGATATTTTTGGAACTTCTGCTGAGCATCAACCAAAAGACAATAGCTACAGCTACAGTCATAAACAAAACAAACTAACCTTCTGTTGTGAAGCTTACATACCAGTGAAGGGACAGTGAAGTCAAGCACAAACACACACACACACACACACACACACACACACACACACGGCAAGCAGAGCAGGGTACAGAGATAAGGGGTGGCAGGGATGTTATGGGAAAGGAAGAGGAAGTATGGTGATGCTGTGTGAGATGTGGCTGGGAGACTTCTCTCTAGGGCAGCCGATATGAGAAGAGGCCAGAATGAAGCAAAGAGCAAGCTCTATTAACATCTTTGGAAGAGTGCTTTGATCAGAGGAACAGACCAAAGGTGGGACATGTGTATACTGACAAGGACTATTTAGGAGGCCTTTGTGGCCCTGGCTTATGCTAGTCAGAGGAAAGCAGTGAGCAGTGCAGTGAGCAGTGACAGGGTGTGAAGTAGAGTGAATAGAGCAGCCCAGAGCCAGCTCTGCCTTTCCACCTAGCAAGAGTTCTTGTGCCAAACCTAGAGCATGTCAAAGGCACCAGGTTCTCTGATCCAAACCCCAGGTGCTGGCTCTTCACACTCACTGTTCTCACAACCGTGGGTGCTTCAAGTCCATCAGATGTACAGAGTTCAGTCTTCAGGGGCCATTGGCAAAGCCAGCACATGAAAGGGCTATGCTGTTGTAGTGACTGGCTTGTTATTCCAAGTGTTCATGGGGAAATGCGCTTATTCTGAGCTTCCCTTTGCACCCCCTTCCATTGGGACTCACCCTAAAGGTTTAGAGCCCATGCTGTATGTATAGTAAGAAAATGAACACTGATGTTCCCTGTGATGTCAAAAATAGAAAATGGAAAGCAAGTTTCAAGGAAGTAGAAGCCTTGCTTGTGTTGATGCATCTGTGGAATTTCTGCTAATTATCAGTCCCTGTTTTAAGCTCATCTCTCACAACCTGTTTTTCTGTTCTATAAGGGGGAAGGTTGCCTGGTAAATCTGCACTGATCATGTGCCACTTTGGGCTGAGATATCTCAAGGTTTAACTTTTGTTTTTTAACTATTTGGTAACGCACAAGGGACCATGGCCAGGGCCTCCTATGTCCTGTTAAACCCATGGAAAATCAACGCCCTGTTGGTCAGAGTACATTAGGAAGAAAGTGATAGGACATTTCTGTCCATTGGATTGATGACCTCCTTTTTTATTATTCTCAAAGGATCTGGCAGAATGCAGAACAAGCCACTTGGGTCCTGACATACTTGAACCCATCCTTAACTCACTCATGTTCTGGAATTCTGGGCTCAATAAGAGGATGTTAATTCATTCTGGAGTGACTGAAAAGTTCTAGGAATGCTGCCAGGTGCTTTTTGTATAGATCATCTCCTTCAGTCTTGGCGTAGGAATGAATGAGCACAGCGATCACCACTTTCCAGGTGAAGCTGGCAAGGCTCAGGTGGAGCACCTAATGTCAAGCTGTTGCCAGATGAGAGAGCCAGGGGTTTTCCTTTCACTGCCTCTCTCCTGCCATTGTGCTAGAACCCTCCATCCTTGTCACAAATGGAGGCTGGCTACTTGATCCATGCTCCTCTCTCTTTGCATGCCAACTGGATTGGAATGGAGGTTTGGGGGATGATATGGAAGAGAAGAACCTGGTTTTCAGACAATGAGTTTTAAATAAGGGTAAGCTGGCTTTGGCACCACAGCTGCACCAACCTCCCCAAACCAAAGAAGGAAGAGTGTTATGCAACACTTGCATCAGCTGCCCAGCCCATGTGAAGACCTTGCACACCCTCACCAGCACTTGGCAGGGAGGGATAGGTCCCCCTTTCTCATCCCTTGGCCTCTGTATGTCCCTGCTTGTTCTTCCTGTTGTCCTTCTTTCCATAGAGCTTTGGGATCCATGGTCAAGTGATGTGACTATCCACTCTGCTAGTACTGGAGTGGCTCTTGAGCATTCGTTTTTAACTTGTATTCTGTATGTGTGATAAGAAAATGAACACTGATGTTCCCTGATGTTTCATTAGTCAACATTATTTCTTGTTGGGTTTTAGGAGCACTGGACCTCCCCACAATAAGTATGAGTTTGGTGCCTTGCTGCTTTGGAGGAGTGCTGAGTTGCTCCTGCTGTCCTGAATCCATTACTTTGTTTTGGAACAGAAAGCACCCCACATCTGTTAGTGGAGAAGTCAGCTGGTGTCATCACTATCCTCTTGGATCCATAAACACTCACTGAAACACAGGGAAACAGGATCCATGTTGAACATGAACATGGATCTGCTCTGTATTTTGTCTTTCTGAAATCGCTCTGGTATTGACAAATGGAGCAGGGAATGGTGTGGTGGTGACAACTCCTGAAGACAATGTGTATTAGCTTCAGCGTCATCGTCCTCATCCCTGACAGCCTGGATACTTGGAGAGGAGATTAAAAGATTAGCAGCGTGCATGTTACAACCATCCTTTAATTCCTTGTGACTTTTCAGTTGTGCTCATTTCATAAGGATGTGAAGGGACTCTGAATAAAAACAGATGCACTGGTATGTGGCCTGAGTCTGCTGGGTAGTATATATGGTTCAGGCATTTGGACAATGTTGAGACATGATCAGGTTTCTTCATGAACACAGCAAATCGCCTTTTTTTTATTGGTTTGGGGGTAGGTTATGAATTATGTTAATTTAAGAGCAATTTGTTTGGACTCTTGCATAAGTTAACTAATTTTTAATGGACTCCATTTTCTAGAAAGTTTGGAAAGGGGATATTGGTGTTCTGACCTGGAGATGGGCTTCATAGGCTAGGTAAGTAGAACTATTTTTGAACTGTATTTATTCCTGATGAAACTAAATTGTCTGGACTATTCAATCACAGGAAATAGCTAAAGAAATGCCAACCATCTCTCAGCATCATTTTATGAAAGAGGTCATTTATACATTTCTAGAATGGAAAAAGCTATCACAGGCATTATAAATTATGGCCTTTGATCTTTACCAGGGAGTGTGATTTTTACTCTGCAAAATATTAGCCTCTGATACTCTTTCCTTCATTTTTCTTACCTTGCCCATTTATTTAATACATTTTATCAAACATATACTATGTGGGAGTCATGATAATCTAAATGAATACTAAATGTAATGTTTGTCATCCAAAAGACCACCACTTATGGGGCAAGAAGTAGATATGGCATTGATTACAGAGATATTGCCAATAGCTTACAGATGAGCGTGAAGTGAGCCAGAGTGAGAGCACTTGGAGCATATTTGCTATAGGGATGAGTCAGTGATGGCTTGGTGAAGACCAACAGCCTTTCTAGAAGAGGGAGACTAAGATGATATTTGGAAAAGAAAAAAAAACCTGCAAGAGGGAAGGATAACTTTTGTTGGGCAATTAGCAGTTCATATTTGGGGTTCAAGCTAAAGTTGGTGTGGCAGTCATCATTCCATTACTATGAAAAATGAATGAGATAATAAACTTGTAAGAAAGATAGATTCACACTAGGTGTGAATCTAATTCTATCACTTGGGGAGGCA